CGACAGAAAGATATACCAGTTGGTGGAGAAGTATATGATACATGGACCGTGCGGCCAGGCGAATTTGAAATCTCCCCGTATGAAGGATCGTGTTTGCACGAAGCGATTTCCAAAGCCATTTGTGCAGCGAGCTGAGTCAGATGCAGATGGTTATATTGTGTACAGGAGAATGGAAGATGGCAGAACGGTTATGAAGAAGAAGACTACTCTTGACAATGGGTTTGTAGTTCCGTACAATTGGGTATTATTGAGTAAATACAGATCTCACATTAATATAGAGATATGCAATCAAAACATGTCAATCAAATACATGTTCAAATACGTCAACAAGGGTCATGATCGTGTTACGACGGCATTTTACGAAAGACGCAATATAGATGGCGGCGCTGAGATTCGTGACGAGATAAAGATGTACTACGACTGCAGATATCTTTCGGCATGTGAGACAATGTGGAGGTTGTTTAATTTTGATATTCATTACAGAGACCCATCTGTAATTAGGCTAAGATTTTATTTCCCAGATCATCAGGTGCTTGTCTTCAATGAAAACAAGTCATTACAAAGTGTTCTGGATAGGCCATCTGCCAAGCAAACGATGTTATTAGCGTGGTTTGAGGCGAACAAGAGTTATCCACATGCCAGGGACTTGAGGTACGGAGATTTTCCATAGCAGTTTGTGTATAAGAAGGATTCTTGCACTTGGGCGCCAAGAAAAAAAGGATTTTCTATTGGTAGGATTGCAAATGTTCCCCCTGAAAAAGGGCTGAAAAGGGGGAAGACTATTACCTTAGGTTGTTACTTAACATTCAGAGGGTTGTACGTGTTACGAGGACATAAAAAAAGTTGCTAACTACATCTACCCTACGTTCATGGATGCGTGTTATGTGTTGGGTTTGTTAACGTAGACAAAGAATACATAGATACGATAAGAGAAGTGAATGCTTGGACATCTGGGGGTTATATAAAGAGGTTATTTGCGGTTATGCTGGTTTCCAATAGCTTAAGCCGGCCCGAACATGTTTGGCAAAGTTGTTGGTCGGGTTTGGCGGAGGGTTTTACTTACAAACAACAACGGCTTCATAATAATCCAGGTATGGCAATTTTCATAGAATATTATTCAATTAGATATTAAATATTACTCATTTTTTTAATAGTCTCTTTATGTTTTGAACTAAATGCATATAATGTATCTAATTTTTATGCAGATTTATCTATATCGGATGAAAGCTTGATGAACTATACTCTCACTAAAATAGAGAAAATATTCCAAAGTAATGGTAAAAGTCTACGTAATTACGCACCCATGCCATTTCCAATCGAATTCTCGGTGGAGGACACAATAAACATATTGGTCTTAGATGAACTGGATTATGACGGTTTGAAATGGGTAAAGAACTTCAATGATATATTTCCCCAATTACAGACGAGCAAATAGAGGTTTATGATGTATTTATGGATGTTGTATCCAATGACCATGGTGGAATATTCTTTCTATATTGTCATGGTGGAACGGGAAAGACATTTCTCTGGTAAACTCTTTCTGCTGCAGTCCGTTCCAAGGGAGAGATTGTAATCAATGTTGCATTGAGTGGTATAGCATCGATATTGTTTCTCGGTGGAAGAACATCTCATTCTCGATTTGGACTTCCCATAAATGTACACGAGACTTCCACCTGCAGCATAACGCAACAAAGTCCACAGGTGGAGTTGATGATTAGGGCTAAGCTTATTATGTGTAACGAGGCTCCTATGATGCATATGAACTGTTTTGAAGCGCTTGACAAGACAACGAAGTCAATATTACAGGTAGACAAACCGTTTGGAGGTAAGGTGGTTGTTCTTGGAGGAGATTTTAGGCAGATTTTACCCGTTGTACTCAAAGCATCAAGGCAGAACATAGTACATGCTACGGTAAACTCCTCTCTGTTGTGGTGTCATAAAGTTGAGTAAGAACATGAGATTGCAGTCATGTTATTCTCCATCTAATGTGAACGAGGTAATAGAATTTGGGGCCTGGATACTGAAAGTTGGTAATGGGGATGTTATGGAACAAAATGATGGTGAAGCTTCGCTAGAGATTCCCGATGACATGTTGATTGGTGATTCAGAAGATCTATTCAGAGACCTATTGAATTTGTCGATCCCGATTTGTTGAGTAACATGTATGATCCAGATTATTTTTAAAGGAGGGTAATTCTTGCATCAACTAATTAATGCGTCGAGTATGCGAACGATCACTTAATGTCTCTCTTTCCAAGTGAGGAGAAGGTGTACATGAGCTCAGATAGGATGTGTAGGGACGAGCAAACAACGAAGGATAATGCAAAAATCTATTCGACTGAATTTCTCAACACAATAAGATGCTCGGGGGTTCCTTCTCATGTATTGAAGTCCAAGGTCGGTGCACCAGTTATGCTAATAAGAAACATCGATCAAGCAGAGGATTGTAAAACGGGACCAGACTTCAAATTATTATAAAATATAAACGGCATTCACGTTCTGCATTGTAAACTTCTTTCCGGTAAAAATATCGTTGATATTGTGTTCATTCCTCGGATGACTTTAATACCATCTAACTCCGGACCGTCAATTAAATTCAGAGAAGACAGTTTCCGTTGATTGTTTCTTTTGCAATGACGATCAACAAAAGCCAAGGCCGAGCTCTTTTGCATGCTGGTTTGTATCTTCCTCGGCCTGTCTTCAGCCATGGTCAACTATATGTTGCACTGTCCAGAGTCAAGAGCAGCGGTGGCATTAAGATATTCATCAGGTGGGATTCAGGCTAACTCACCGATGTTACTAGAAATGTCGTCTGCAAGGAAGTATTTCATCGAATTTGAAGGTTGAAAATATTTTCATATTTATGAGTTCTTCATGCAACATGTATCGGTTTTTATTCTTTTTAACACCTTCCTCTTTGGCAGGTCTATCTTTCCTATATGTTTTCCCCCGTGCGATGTTATTTTCAGTCATGTCCCTAGGATGCTTAGTGCAAATCTTATTATATGTTTGTCGATATACTAATATTATTATTCTTATATTGTAACTATGAAGAACATGATACTTATAACATATTTTTAATAATGTTGGTCGAAGACGTTTTGTACTTAAATTAATGAGCGTAATAATTGACATTTGCGTAAATTTATTTTACAGACATGTATTTCCAGATGAAAATATACCACCCCGTGCATCGCACGGGTGAATGCTACTATTGTAAAATCTCGGTGTTATGTTGCATTTGATTCATATTTAACCTATTACCACTGCCACTACTTAATTCCTTTTATTTTGACTTTTTCCTCTCCAAAATCAAATAATTTTATAAAGTCTTAACTTGTATGTTGATTCGTAGTATTAAAATAACAAATATATTATTATTATCCTAATCAGTTGGGTCTTATTCGGGTTGAGCCATAGTAGGCTCGAACTCGGCTCATAAATAAATCGGGTTTAGTAAAATGGCTCAAACTCGGTCCGGCTCACTAAAAAATAGGCTCGACTCAAATATAATTGGGCCGAACCATCGGGCTTCGGTTAGGCCCGGCTCAATTGCCGGTCCTATTTATTGTACACCTTTTTTTTTTTAATAGTTTTTTGAGAGAATTAATTATATATTAATAATAATATAATTATGTATTAGCAATACGTAATTATGTATCGTGCAAACCAAGTTAAGCCAATCTAGAATACGACGGAAGTTTCTTTTATTGGAAATATAACTAACTTATTATTATTATTATTAAAGAGTTATAGTTAGAGTAGGAGTTGTAGTTAGATTGTAACTATATATTTTATTATAAATAGGGTACATAGACTCTATGGTGGTGGAATAAACTACAAATCAAATTTATTATATTGTTAGACGATTATGGATGGTTGTTCTATTGGCCAAACATCCCATAAACCGTCACCGGCCCTGATTATCTATCGGTGCGGCTTGTGCCGGTTTATGGGACGTTATGATCAATAAAAAGAACAACGAAATTTGATCTGTATTCCGACGAGATTCATTGGGTTTCTCAAGGTTTGTTATTTTTATTTTTATTTTTTATATCATGTTATTGGAATTGTTTATTGAAGTATGTATGTCTGTATGTATGGGGATTCTTTTTTATCTTACAAAATCATGTCAACTGTTTCAAAGCGTCTAGTAGTTGATGGTGTTTCGAACATGATAGGGTTTATTTTTTTATTTTTGGATTCCTCAAAGTTTGTGATTTCTTTGTTGTTCTTGAAAATCCTAAAAAAATTCTTCAATTGTCTCTAGGCATCGATGTTTGAAATAAGGATTTTTCAATTTTTACAATATTCAATATTTGCCATGTAATCTTTTGTTATTCTTTAATCAAGTATTTGTAATTTTAATCTAACTTGAATGAATATTGAGTAATTTTCATGGATGTTTATGGAGTAATTAATATACCTTCTGTTGAAACGATCAGAATCATTAATGGCTCGTTTGCTTATCTATATCGAATTAAATTATATTAGATTAATTCTTACTCATTAATTAATTATTTAATTTATAACACTGTTTGGTTCTTTAGATTGTTAATTAGATTATGTTATTATACACATAATTGTTTATACACTCTGTTATTTTAGAAATTCAAAATATTTTTATTAAAGAAGATTTCTCGATAACATTCATAATTTAATAATCATGTTTTAATTTGTAGTAGTTGATGGATAATTTGAAGTCATTAGCTACATAATTAAGGGCCGATTGATTTTAGGTCAACTAGTAATCTCAAATATAGATTAAATATTAATGATTAAATTAATTACTATATTCATTTATATTGATTAAATGAAGGTCAAAATTAGTTTGGGGTCAGACATTAGTTATTTGTTTAGAGTGGAGTGAATCGAATAAGGGAAGAATATGAGGGGCCAAAGTATAATTAAAGAAAAATAAAATCCAGTTCTCTGGGATGGATTGAGATTTGTGATTTGAGGGTATTGAATTTGAGTTTGAGGAGTGAGTTTTCCTAATTATGGCCGCCGTCGCCGCCGCTATTACTGGTTGTTCCACCACCACCACTAATATCTTCCTTCTCTCCTGCCGCCGCCGCAGCACCATCACCGGTCTAAATCTAATCAATAACCACCGCAGCAGCGTTCCTAGTGCCGGCGGCAAATTGCTGCTTCCGCCTAGGTCACCTCTTTGTCTAGTTCCAAATTCACGCAATAATACAGCACGGAGATTGCAATTATTATTATGTTACTGCACGGAGAGCAGTAATACAGCAGCAACAATGAAATCGGAATCGGAAAGTGAAGAAAAGGGGATAAAAGAGACGGCGAATAGTCTGGATATAAGGGTGGGGAAAATCGTAAAGGCGTGGAGGCACGAGGAGGCGGATTCACTTTACGTGGAGGAGGTTGACGTCGGCGAGGCAGAGCCGAGAACCATTTGCAGCGGCCTTGTCAAATACATCCCCCTCCATCTTCTCCAGGTTGGTTTCCACATTCCCCCTTTTCAATTCAATTTCTCATTTCTTCATTGTTCATCATCATTGTGTTGATTTGTTGGTTGTTGCTGTTAATTACCAACACCTAATTAACCAATGCAATTGCAAATATGTATGTATACAGCAGTTAAGAAGATTTTGTGTTGATCATTGGCCAAGATGCATGAAATCAAGAAACCCAAATTCGTAATCTTTTTGCCCGTGTATACGTCCAAGGCACACAACAATTCATTAATTTATTGTAGCAAAACTCCTATAGTAGAATTTTTAATTGGAAACATGAGATAATAAAACAATGAGCTCGCTCTTTTAATGAACTCTATGGCTTCAAGTTTAATGAACTGTGAATCAATGTTGACAGTTATTTTCATCTGAATGCCGGAAACTAACAGAACATGCTTCTTTATATATATATATGTGTGTGTGTGAGTTCGGGAAGAAAGATGTTTGAAAAAATAAAATGTTGGTTGCAGGACAGGAATGTAATAGTACTTGCGAATCTAAAGGCTAGAAATATGCGAGGTGTGAAATCGTTTGGAATGCTGATGGCGGCTTCTGATGCAGCACATGAGAATGTAGAGCTTCTAGTGCCGCCGGAGGGTGCAGTTCCTGGTGAAAGAGTATGGTTTGGTTCTGTTGATGATAAAGACAACCTACCTGATGCTGCATCACCTAACCAGGCAATTCTCTCTCTCGAACACACACACACACATATAAAAAAGCATTTCGTATGATTGTATGATGATGATGATGATGATGATGATGATGAAAAAAAAAAAAAAGTGCAGATTCAGAAGAAGAAGATATGGGAATTGGTACAGCCTCACCTACGGACAGATGAAGCAGGTGTTGCTACACTCGACATGATACACCAGATGCGAACATCTGCCGGCCCTGTTATCTCTCAATCTCTCTACAATGCTAACATCTCCTGATTCTCTACAACTATCTTTATTTCCCAATCGGAATATTTGTTTTTTCTCTTGTCCTCCGAAAATAAGATCAAATATTCAGCTTTCTACTGCATTTTTTTTCGTTCGTTATGATTTCACATCAAAAGAGCTTCAGTACTGCATTCTGTGTTATGATGGTGATGACTAAAGTCAAATTTAATCCATATTGAACAAATATTGTGTTGTTTCGATGCTTTTATGTTAATTCAACTTTTTTTACGAGTCAGAAAATCATAGTCTAGTTAGTATCTATAGCAATTATATTCGTAAAAAGAAATGAAATTGGAACTTTCGGAATTCATATTGTTTATAATATTGAATTGAAATCGATGGAATTGGGGAACTTGAAAAATAGATTTTTTATACTTATAAAATTGAAGGAAATTTAGTTGTTCAAATATAAAATTTCAGTCAACTAATTACAATTAAAATTTAAACCTATATAAATTAATACATTAATTTAGCGCGAATGATTTAATAAGTTTTAGTACAGGTAGAATAAACAAAATAAAATATTAGTTAGTGGTTAATACGAATACTTGTACAATTGAGAAATATTTCAATCGGAGAACATGAAGACGAAGATAGTCCACGTAAGACAGATTGAATTGACTGCTCATCAATTCACCATTCCATTCCCTATTATTCTCTCTCTCTCTCTCTCTCTCTCTCTCTCTGGATAAGGCAGGCAGGCAGGCGAAAAGTAGTTGAGTATAAACTTGCCGTATTCATTCTCCACCACCACCACCACCACCGGCGAAAAGTACTTGAGTTTTTGATATGATCGGATAACCGATTATATCAAATTAAACACCAAGCTTGCCAATGCATTTTGGGCTTACTATATCCACCACCACCATCACGTTTCCTACTGCTAACACTAACCCTCATCGTCATCATCACGTCGTCTTATGTTCTGATGGATGTAGAATTACACATTCCTCCCCCAAAACCACGCCTATTCATGGGTGGCGCCGCCCACCATCAACCCATGTAGATTATTCTTTTCTCTTGCTCCACCCCTATAATTCCTATGCCTCCGATCGCCGTATAAGTTTTGGCCTTCGCCATTTTCTTTCCCACACTGATAGAAAACGTCATTTCTGCAACTGCAAGAGGGACGGATTTGTTGATGATCAATCCCAACCTGTTGATGACGACGACGATGATGATGACCAATCCTCACAATTACTGCAATTTGGCGATTCTGCCATTTTATCCGCTTGTTTCGTTGGCCTGCTCACTGGCTTTGCTGTTGTCCTCTTCAATTACACGGTAACTTCTTCTTTTTCCACAAACATATTACTCCACCTGCTTCTCTGGAATCTAGCATTTGCTGTTTCATGTCCAATTGTCCATTCAAATTAAATGGCTTTGTGATTATCAAATGCGTATGAATTACGGAGATAATTCGGTAACTGAATCATGACCGTATTTTAGCATGGCACAAAGTAATGATTATCTCGAGTTGTGCTGTTCCAATTCTTTGATTTTAGTGAGCAGGCTAAAAAACTACCATACTCTTAGGTTTCGTGTCATACAAGTTAATAGTACAGCCAGCAGCAAACTAAGTGATAAATTCAGTATCTGCCCCCTTTGAAATTGTTGGTTTTTCTTGCTGAACATTTTTGGCCCGAGAATGTAGGTTTTGATAACATACCTCATCCTATCCGCCACTGATATTTCATGCTATTCCCGTTTAAGAAATTATCTGTGCTATAATTGATGACTGATTGGATTGTATCTCCATGCACCGCACCGCATGTTTGTTATGTTAAATTAACATTCACAAGAAGTGACATTATATGTATGCCGACTTAGATTGAATCTTGTTGAATAGCTGTTAATGAATATTCCGTAATGGGTGTCCGACATGAGAATCATCATTACAGTTTATGACTTGTTCTCATGAGATTGATTCTTGCATTTTTATATCGCTCTTGAATCTGATTTGCTGATATGTACAATTCACAATCTTCTTTGTTCTAAAACCATGTATGCTCACTCGTTTTAAACCTTTTTTTTTAACATTCTCGGTTTACTAGTGTGAGTATTTCATGAAGACACTGAAAATTGTACTCATATTTTTTTTAGATTTTGGCAGGGGAATGCAATCCTTTGTTAGATTGCTCTTATTTCATTGATGTAATCAAGTTTCTTAATATCGTTCAGACTCTGTTAACTTAGTAGGTACATGAAATACGTGACTTGTGCTGGGGTGGATTCCCAGATCTAGGTGCCTCATGGTTAAGAGAGCAACCCATTGAGGCAAAATGGGGTCGTTTAATCTTAGTTCCTGCTTGTGGAGGTCTGGTAGTCAGTTTCTTGAACATGTTTCGAAGTGCTATAGAGGACTCAACGGGTGAAACTGTGATGCCAGGAATCAAATCTGCACTAAAACCAATTCTGAAAACTTTGGCTGCTTGCGTCACGTTGGGAACGGGGAACGCGTTAGGGCCAGAAGGACCAAGTGTCGAGATTGGTGTCTCCGTAGCCAAAGGAGTCGGCAGTTTTTTGGATAAAGGAGCTCAAAGAAAGCTGTCACTCAGGGCTGCAGGATCAGCCGCTGGAATTTCTTCTGGTTTGTCTTATACTTCATAACTTTTTAGCATGGTTTGTGTATTGCATTTTAGTCTTTGTCACTGTTTTCAAGTTTCTGCATTTAGAAGTTTTGTAGTTAAAATCCAGTATCGTCAGCAAATTGCAATAGTGACTTTTGTATCGATTGTTGGGCTCTCTAGATATTGATGATAATGTATATCTATAATTTATTATATCTTTCTGGTAAAATATTTGTATTTTCCTGCTGACAGGATTCAATGCTGCCGTTGCCGGTTGTTTTTTTGCTGTGGAATCAGTCCTGTGGCCGTCACCTGCAGAGTCATCCTTATCATTGACAAATACAACTTCAATGGTCATTCTGAGTGCTGTAATAGGTTCTGTAATATCAGAAATTGGTTTGGGCTCTGAACCAGCTTTTGCTGTTCCAGTCTATGATTTCCGCTCTCCGAGTGGTAATTGTTAACTTCCTCCTCTAGTTCACGTTGTTATCCTTATCGCACCCTGCAAGCATACTCACATAAATGGAAGCTACACCTTGTTTGAACTTGCATCACCTCTAAAAAAATAAAAAAGAAACTTGCATCACCAGTATCTCATTAGTTTAGTATGTTCGATTTAAGATGTTGTTTAAGCTTTGTAATATGTGGTGTCGCAATAGAAACTGGATATCAGTATTTGCCTTTTCCCTAGTCCCTACAATTTCAATAGGAAAACTCTTAAAATATTATTGTAATCTTTGTTCTAATCTTTAATCCCTGTTCTTGTTAGTTCAGAACTGCCACTCTATCTTTTGCTGGGCATACTATGTGGCGTCGTTTCTCTTGGCTTATCAAGGTCTACATCTTTTATGCTGGCTTTCTTTGACGGCGTTCAAAGATTTGGGGTACCCAAGGCAGCATTTCCCGTGGTTGGTGGTTTATCTGTTGGAATAATGGCTTTGGCATATCCTGAGATTTTGTACTGGGGATTTCAGAATGTAGATACTTTGTTGGAATCTCTCCCTTCTACAAACAGCCTTTCTGCTGGTCTTTTGCTTCAGCTGGTGGCTGTGAAAATAGTGGCAACTTCCTTATGCAGAGCTTCAGGATTGGTAGGAGGTTACTATGCCCCATCTTTATTTATTGGTGCTGGTACAGGAATGGCATATGGGAAAATTGTTGGTTATTTGATTTCCATATCCAATCCCATCTTTCATCTTTCTGTCCTGGAAGTTGCTTCGCCTCAAGCATATGGCCTGGTAATTTTTGTATTCCTCAATGATGAAGCTGATAGAATTTTCAAAGTGTAATCTTGTTGCTATTTTCCTATATATGCAAGTTTCTTAGGACTCATTTTGGATTGAAGGATTTGAAATCCACCACAATTACTCGTATACTAGGGACTAGGGTACTTCTGATTATAAAACATTCTGTGTATATCAATTTGATGTTAATGAAAATACTGAGAATCGACTAGAGCAGTTGTGGAAACTCATCAATCACTTTTACACAATTGACTAAAGTGTAGGTAGCATTTAGCATACGAGTATATGCTCATGTATCTATTTGAAATTAACAATAGATCTTGTGTACCAGAATGTTTTTCTCTTTAGTCATTATTGTCATTGCGTGGACCATATACCTAATTGCTGGATTCTGTCGATAAGTCGTCAAGAATGGCCATTTGCAGAAAGAAACATTTAATTATGAACTGGAACATTTGGAGTAGATGTTTTACAGTGACAAGCGTCTACGTAACAGAGTATTTTTTTTGGCATGATGATTCACTGCATCATGTTATGATTTTACGTCAACTCCTATGGTATTGTTTTCGTTTTTGTCAGAAGTAATATTCTGAATTATAGTTTATTCCATGTGGATTTTTACACAGGTTGGCATGGCTGCTACGCTAGCTGGGGTGTGCCAGGTACCCCTCACTGCAGTTTTGCTTCTTTTTGAACTAACACAAGATTATCGAATTGTTCTGCCACTTTTGGGAGCTGTGGGACTCTCTTCATGGGTTACATCGGACAAGACAAGGAAAAGAGTCATTGATAAAACCAGCAAATCGAAAGATCAAAATGCTGTAACAACTTCACCAGAGAGATATTCTTACAACTCGACTGTTAACTCTACTTCTCCTAATGTCAACGAACCAAACGGTAATAGCCTTTGTGAACTCGAGAGTTCACTCTGTCTGAATGATGACTCTGAAGATGAAGCGGATGACCTGGCAAATGAAATCCTGGTTTCACAAGCAATGAGAACAAAGTATGTAACTACGCTGATGAGCACTACCCTAACAGATGTAGTGTTGCTCATGCTGGAAGAGAAACAGTCATGCGCAGTAATAGTTGATGAAAACAATTGGCTCGTTGGTCAGCTAACCCTCAGCGACATTCAGCAGTTCATTACATTGTCAAGGGAGAAAAACAGGAAACCTCAGGTAGAGTTTCTTAATACAAATCATTGCTTTTTTTTTTTTTTTTCTTTTCATGTTATTACATGTGTTTTTTTGTGTGGAAATTCTCGAGATGTCATTGAATGGTTGGAGTTATATACTGCAGGTGCTTAGAGTATCTGAACTGTGTTCCTCTTACGGCAGAAGATGTTCTGTATCCTGGACAGCGACACCAAACATGAGCCTGTTTAATGCTCTGAATCTGATGAATAGACATAGTATAAACCAACTCCCTGTCATCTTGGAGGATGGGGTTCGTGGAGGCTGTCCAGTTGGCCTCTTAGACAGAGAATCCATTGATCTTGCTTGCAGGTAATAAAATCCGCATTTACGCTCCTAAAATAGTTTGTGAATAATACGCTCCTATTCTTCTTTCATGCAAATGACAAAAGAAGAACTAGTCTATAAGTTAAGGGCCAACATTGGAGTCTTGAACAACACATGATGTTAGAAGTATTTGGATTTCTTATATGGTTGCTTGTTTTAAGCCGTGGTCTGGTCGACAAGTATAAATTTTTAATCTGTTTTATTGGAAGTGTTCGATTCAGTAAAAGCTAGCATGTAAATATTCACCAAAGATGGAACCTTACTGTATTTTCCTAATCTGGAATTTGTTTTTCGCTCGTAATTAACGTAATGTTTTCTGGATCCAGAGCATTTGCAACCCAGGAGGGCCTCAGCTGGTTTTTTGTACAGGAGAAGTTCAACATTTGAGAATTCGTGAATATACTCTTGTTTGGCAAATCATCGGTTCTCAAAAACTCGAGAATGGACTTTGCTATATGGTGATGAAGCTCAAGCACTTGGCTGAATGTGTTACCAACCAATTTAACGTCACAGAGGAAATTGACAATTTTTGTTGTATAGATAGATAATATATGGCTGTATCATGTTGCAACAAATTTTGATCATTTCCGTCTTTAAGTAAACAGAAATGGTTGTTCTTGTGAATTTGTACAGAACCATTTGTCATGTTATTAAAAAAAATCCCAATCTTTCTGTCTTCATGAACTCAATTTTTCGTATATTCTTGAAAAAAATAATACTTACTTCTACTAGTTAATTTTCATCTCTACTTAAAGATTATGTCAGTGTACATCACTGCTCTATATTCATTCTAGTTATGCTGAATGTGAAGCTTATCAAAGAGTCCTTCAATTGAATCAACACACACCAAGAACGAAGCCGTTTTGCCACTAGCTGAGATAGCCGTGAAAAGAACATACAAATTTGAATATCTACGAAAGCTAAACAACCCTATCTTGTCCAAAACGATGAAATGATTAACACCTTGATCCATTTCCGCAGGGGTCGTTTCTTATCTGCAACTTTATTTTGTTCCCTAAATGAGTTATATCTTTCACCACATTTACGACAGAGTACTGAAGAATATTTAAGATTGATTTGATCTATCAAGTAGAAGATATATTGCACTGAAAACTATGTTTTCTTTTTGGAAATAAATGAAATCTAACAGAGGTTCATCCAAACCCAACTAAATTGTTAGCTGGGGAAACATAATAATTCAACTGCATCCCATAATAACTTGAGTATTATTATTGGTGAAAAATACAACTTGAGAATGTACCGACTATCGACAAGATTAATTTACTTTCAAGCTTTCTTCTGCTTCTTGGGCGTCGGGGGTGGAGGAAACACAAAGCGGAAAATCCATGCAGACAGTATTGCTCCAACAAACGGACATATCCAGTACACGTATAATTGCTCCCATGTATTGTGCTTATTGTTTATGTAAGCCCACCCAAATGCCTGCACACACACGTAAAAGTTTAAGCACAAACTTCTTCAGGCACAACACACAATTATACTCCAGAAATAGATTTGTATCTTTACAACATAACATAAGTTGCCATAAGGACAAAACATCTAATATCGTACAGAACCATTAGGGTTCGTGAAGCGATAATCTTTAAGACGTGGTTATATGAAACTTTATTATGACTTTAAAATACTTGGACCAAAAGCTTGAAGAAGAAGAACAACAACTCAAATAGATATCAGAATCATCTGTTCAAACCCAGCTCTTGAAGGTGTACACCATCATGGATCAAAAATCACTCAACAGAGTTCTTCTCGGGAGTGATAACTTTAAAATAGAAAGAGTATGTAATGGATTAAAGACTATGCCAAGTGATTTGTGTTTGGAGAAAATGGAACCAAAAAAATTTGACTAGGAAAAGGCAAAAAAAGGAAGCAAAAAATAATGAATACGAGTTTCATACTCGCTCAGAGAACAACCATTGAGGAATATACACTTGTACAACGAGATTACAGGAAAAACAGATAATCAGTCTAGGTAGCTGGACACTCGTCCACAACTACCAAGATATTAATAGCTGGCATCTGAGTTGTAGTTGCGCTATTAGATCCGATTAAGTCTATATTAGGACTGCATGGATATATTAAAGGGACAAATGTTAAAGCTATTACCTTTACTCTTAGGTAAGAAGAATATTTATATTCCTTGTCGTTTATATGTTCAATGAAGACCGATAATCAAATAAAAGGGTAACAGAACCATAAATAACGGAACGACAAGATTATCTATCTAATAAAGTTTTCAAAAAGTAGAAAAAAAGGCTTACGTTGGCAGGATTCATGGAAGGTCCGGTATAAGTGGAACCTGCAAGAACAAGTGAGACAGTGGACATAGCAATCAACCAGTTCTTGACAAGGGAGTTACGAGGACCCTTAATGATAATAAGGAGAACAGCAAATGTGATTATGAAAGTCAAAACTCCCTCAGCAATAGCTCCAGTGTGCAAGTCAACCTTCAAAGAAGGACCTCCAAGCATGTGTTTGTACTTCACCGGCATTACCTCCGAAATCGCGAGGGCACCGCCCACTGCACCAGCTGCCTGTAGAGTGAGTGTACACACATCAAAACAGTTTAATATGCCTTGTATTTTTTTTAATCACATGTTTAATAAGAGGTCAAAATAATTTAATATTCTCACGGAACACATGTTCAATTAGCAGGAAAATGTATATGCGTGTAGGGAACACATGTTTAAAAAAATTAACCTTTCTTCAATTAGCAAAAAAAAAAAAAAGTTATGTAATCAAACTGTGTACTACCATCTTCTTAATTACATCATCATCATATACACACACTTATAGATATATAAAAAAAAAAGAAGAAGAAGAGGAAATGAGGTGGACCTGAGCAGGAAAGCGCAGGGCAGCAGAGATGAGAGAGTCAGCGCCGCCATAGCCGGCGGCGTAGAAGGCGGCGGTGGCGGTGGGATTGAAGGTGGCGCCACCTAAGAAATCGGAGATGAATCCAAAAAGGAACAAGAAGAAGAAGATGAGGGAGGTGGTGATGAAAAGGGTGGGGAGAGCTTGGGAGACAACACCGAGAGAAGAAGCAACAACGAAAGTTAGGGCACCGAAAGAAGATGCGCAGAAAATCCACATGAAAGTAATCAAGCCATCGGCTATGGCGGCCTTGATTGCGTCCTTCATCATCATCTCTGAATCTGAATCTTCTTTCAGTGTGTTTTGAGTTGTGTGAGAGTGTGTTTTGATGATGATGATGAAAACGAAGTAGAAGAAGAGAGAGAGAGAGAGAGAGAGAGAGAGGAGAGAGAAAAGGCGTGAGTGAGTAGGTATGTATGTATAATAATATATTATTAATATTATATATTGAATTTGAATGACTTACCTACCAAAGTACCTACAAACTCGTCCCAATTGGTTGCTACTAACCACTACCCCTGAGGCTCCAATGGAATCAATCCCATTGGAACTTTTTATTTTCACAAAAATATCAACTCAAAATTATTTCTATATTCCATTCCAAATTATTTTTAAATAAATCAAAAATGTTATTTTTCGAAATTAAAATATAAAAGAAAAACTTATTCCAAATTTTGAATTTTCTGATCAGAATTGGTAGAAATCCGATTTTGTGTTATGATTCACTAATAATAGTAATGTATACTGTAGTAGGTGGAAAAATATAATTTTCAGGCGGAAATTGAAATGATGTGGATTGGAGATCAGAATCGAATATTTATTGATTGTGATCCAAAAAATTGAAAAAAAAAATCAAAAACTGAGATACATTTTGGATTACATTTTGGATTAGAGATTTTTCAATTTTAATACAAAAATAATTTATTAGTAAGATTAGTTTTGATGCATTATATTGTTGAATTTAATGACATATTATTTGCGGAAGGATGGACTAATATATTATTTGACAAGTTGAGTATTAAAAAGGGTTTGAAGAATGCATGATGCATCCCAAATACTCATCAAAACATAATTTTGCTCTAATTTCTCTAATTTCTCTAATTAAAAAAAAAACTAAATATATATAATTAGTGTAAAAGAAATGGTATTAGTTGATAAGAAGAGTATTCCAACGATCTCGGAGAATGAGGTATGCGGTGGTGCATGGCACAGCCTGGACTAGAATATCTCCATCATCAACGAGACTTACCTTCTTCTCCGTTAAAAGACCTAGCCTCATCAGTGTGTGTATTGCCTTATCAACTGGCATTTCAACCTGCTTTTGAAGAAATAATATATACTAAATGTTTGTTCGATTGATTGAAGAAATTAAATAGAGTGTACGTACCTTCTCTTGGAAACGATCATAAAGGAATGCCTCACATTGTTCCCTAATTGCTCTTGTGCTTCTCACCTGCATTTGAATTCAACAATTATATATGAATATCCCACTTAAACCCAAAATATGCATGTCGAAACAAACCGCTAACCTGGCTACTTTCTGCTTTAAGTAGGATTGCGTACACCAATATGGCTTCTTTGTACTGCATCAAGTACTCAAACATAAATCAGGGACGCATACTACTTCATATATGCATAGATAGAAAAGATTTAATGTAATTTTAGTTGGTTTCCCGGTCGGTCACCTGCTGTTGTTCAGAAGCATCAAGAAGAAAATGAATGGAACCAAAGCCACTAGCTACTGTTTTCTCGTAAAGGGTCCTATTCACCAGAAGCTGAATAAAATATTTGAACAGGTAAGCTTGAGCAACATATAAATAAATTAGATAAAAAAAGAATATTGTTGCTCTAGCTCTAACTCACTTGATATCTATCCCTTGTTTGTTTGTACCCCAAAAGTACACGACTCACATATAACACAAGTGCACTAGCTGCAACCACATCTAGAAGAGCTGCTGATCTGCACAATTCATACAGCCCAAACATTTTCTACGTCACGATGCATTCATACACAATCATCCATTATGGAACCGGTTTTTTTGAAGCAAAACTTGTAAAGCAAACAATTATGAACCTGGCAAGCACCTACGGTGAAGATAAAATGTCTTCAAATTTATAACTGAAGAAGTAAGCCAGAAGTCCCACTATTGTTGCAACATCCAGCCGTACCTGCAGACGTCCAATTCTGTCATCAACGTTTATCAATATCACCGTATTACCAACTATTTGTTCAACAAACAGCACAAATACGCGCTTAATCATAATAGCGTAACAGTATAGATCACTTTTGTAATACAACATTAAACTGATTTAACACTTCTGGTAGCCATATTATGCATACCGTGTCAAGAATACGAAAGGACAGCTTCTTGTGAGGGAAAACAACCTACAAAAGTTAATCAAAATATCATACATCCGCACAAACCATTTGTGTAGCAAAAACTTTTCAGTACTGAAGCATTTACGGGCAAATCTGGAACGGGGATTCTCTCGTAGATTTTCAATTGCAACGAGGAGACCTGCCCTTGGTCTGCAGTTTCTCTTTCTCCAATTTCATCAGTATAGAGCAAGATTAATTCTTCGAATGCAAGCTCCTAGATGAAGACATATTTATTTAAATCAAACACAAGTGAAGTGATGGTAAAAAGAAAACAATGTCCATATATTCAACTATTCTCTTATTTCTCTTTTTTAATGTGTGTATTTCTGACTTCAACAAGTGCTTGAAAATAGATTGGGATTGAGAAAGTAGAACTCATCACTTGGGAGTTCCATGATAAACTTTCTACTTTCTCAAACTATGTCAATATAAGAGAAAATGTTCCTTTTTTTATCATTGCATTTAGGTACTAAATTTTCAATTACATCCACTAAATAAAGCAATCAAATGTTCGTATTGCTACCAGATATATCCTTAGTTTCCCAGAACTGAAAATGTGAAGCCAGTGTTCATATTATTGGACTAGTTACCAAGAAATGTTATTATTAAGAGTTGGTACTGACGAAACACAAGAAAGAAACACTAAAGTTCATCTAAGAAGAAATGGAGATTCTGTACATAAAAACATACCTGGAGAACAGATTGTGAGAATAGAATTGAAATGGCATTTCTTAGCACCTTCCTGAAATCATTTCCACATGATTTACGTGATGCAGGTTTCCATATGTCACTCATTGATATTCTCGAAAGGAAATTTGAGCTGCACAAATAAAAACATCTCTTCTAATTATCTACAGTAAAATCTAAATTAGATTAAATTCCTTCAAAAAAGAAATTAGCATGACAAAGGCTCATCTACACATATTTAAATAGGAAGAAGCATGATATTTAATTACATTGTTGAGCTTAAAAACTACATACATTAAATTTACAGATGCCATATCGAATCACACCAAGCAAACACATTGGCATGGTAAAAAATGAAAGACTCTTGAATTTCAGGTGCTCTTTAAGTAGAACTAGAAGCTAATATATGATGCATCAAAAGGAACCTCGGCAGATGAAACCTATCTAGAGGCAACAAGATAAGAACTATGGAATCCATGAAGGGCAGTAGCACCTCTTTTTTATTGAGTTAATAGGGGTCACCACAAATAACATTACATGTTAGAAACCATTAGATGGTTAGTTTACTCAACCTTCTAAAATTCGAAGTAAAGAACTATGTGTCATGAAATTATCATGAAATGGTGCGGGCATCTCAACACTATGAAAAATGGTTGCTTTCTTAGCAAACACATGCAAAGATGCGACAGGCTTAGGCGACTTGGTAATGTGAAATTTTAATAATAAAATTCTTGAATAGTCATCTGAAAGAAGAAGTTGTTCATTTTGTGTGTCCATTAAACACGATCTCAGCGCAGTTACGGACATAATATTCATCCATAGAAATAACTCTCAAATAGTTAAGGAAGAATTAATAAATCGGTGCAATGGAGAAGGAAGGTTTCTAGCAACTAACTGATCAAGAAGTTGATTTAATTTTTTGATTTAATTAACATTGAAACTGAAAGTCGAGATATGAAAAGATTCTAAAAGATACTTTTCTATGAAAATTCTTAACTTGCTCTTTGGATGACAGCTACTGCATCTTCAATGCAAAACTTTTAATACGTACTATGATGCCAGCCTCTATATACATATCAACAGAAATAAATACTTCAAATATCAAATGACATAAGAATTCACAAATCAGAAGTGCAGTGGGATAATAGTCAATGAGCATCGAACCTTAAATTGGATTCAGAAGTACTAGTGTCGGATTGAAGGTCAAATGCATGCTGAGGGGTTGATGGTACTAGACCAACCCATGCAAGAAACTTTCTTAAGAGCCTCTCACGGGGTCCAACTTCTGAGAGCATTCCTTCATAAAGAGTTGCTGCTTTTTGTGCAGCTACCCATATAGGAAGGTCACTAGATAGAATGTCAGCTCCTTTAAGCTCATCATATAGCATTTCATCATTGGAAGGAGGTTTCAGCGGAAGAGACAACTCGTTAAGCCAAAGGTTAAATCTATTTCCCAGTATTTCAATTTCTTGGTTTTGAGTGATCCTCTTGAACACCTGCTTCACAAAAGTAGTCAACAGACCAACAAGGTAGTCAAAATCGAGGATTTTAAGTAGAACCGAAAGGGGGCTGAAAAATCGTTATCGTAAAATCGGATCCCAACGAAAAAATCGTTCAAATCGTAGATTTTAAAGATTTTACTTACAAACTCTAAGGATTTTGCTTGGATTGGGATTCTACTAGGATTTAAGAAGGTATAGGGTAGTAAAATCGTAAACGGGTTTAGGATTTTAATCGGGATTCTAACTACATTGCAGAGCAAACATATACATAAAATAGGGAAAAAAAAATCATTATATGACAAAATGATTCGTAGAATCTCATTTCATGCCGTCGATGAAGTGAAGTCAAATTATTTTAAGCATTGCTTACTTTACGCCAACAAGGTTCACGGGAAATATTATATAAATGACTTTACAAATATAGGTGGATAAAATTGGAGAATTATATGTGACTTTATGAATACAAGTGGTCTTCAAATCTTGTTCAGTCACTTATTACAGTAGGTCAAACCAAAATCTCATTGTCGATTCTCACAGAACCTCAAACCCAGCTCCACAATAATTTTATATACAATAAAATGCAAAGAAATCATAAATTTGTATCATCGGTTCCGTTATTATCCTCTCTCTCTTTTTTTTTTTTCTTAAACTCATAAATGTAGCATTAGCCTAACACCTTATTTCGAAGGCAAAACTACTAGTGACCATGGTAACCTATTAGAATGTTGTAAGAAAAAAACGAAATCATAATTTATGGCAGTTACCTCATTTAACCAAATAGCAAGCCTCCCCAACGGTTTGGCAAAAAGAAAGAAAAAGTCTTGCAACAATTTTGACTGCAAGTAGTCCAATTTTTCAGCAATTAGCAATCCCTTCTGCCTCTCACTTGCATATCCCCGCCTGTATACATAAAAACTTATAAGTCAGAACAGTAGAACAAGTCTTATGATGCAAGTAAGTTCGAGTTGGTAGTCGTGTACCTGAATATAATGGCATTGGAGTCGGATGCTTTTTTCCAGTCAACATAAATTGGCAATGTAAGCAGATAATCAGTATTTAGTGCTGATGTCAACATCAAATCCCTAGGAGACAACTCTTCAAACCCGGCATTGTGTAGAAGTTTCATGAAAGCATGTTGGAAACGGCCTGGGATCGCAACTCTACATAAAAAGGATAACTTAGGAACAATAAGATTTCCTATAATTTATTTGGTCAACAATACCTTCACCAAATAACAATGATTAATCATCCATATTGGTAAAAGAATTAAACAAACAAAGATCAAAATTCGCAGTTCAAAGTTATGGAAGGGGAAAGCTCGATTTAAGTTTATGCAAGATAGATAGATAGATACCTGGAAGTGTTGATAGGATTTGTCAAGGACTTGAAAGGATTTGTCTTGGCGGCTTTCAACGTAAAATCGACAAGTAGTTTCAAGTATAGGGTAAAACCAGAGGACATTGTTAATATATCGTCGGGGTCAGCATCAGCATCAGCATCATGTCCCTGTTCCTTGTCTATTGTGCTCTCGTTATTCATAAAATGATCGGACGGAGTATTGTCAAGACGGGGGTGTGTGTTGCTCTTGTTTGTGGAAAGAGTGAGATCAAAATCAGCCCTCATTTGCTCCAAAATAATTTTGTGTTCAGCATGAATAATTGAATCCAAGCATCTGCAAAGTTTTATATATGTGTGAATAATAGTAAGAAACAAGATATACAGTAGAACAAATTCCAATTCCATTTTGTTTATGGGGAAAAATCAATGTAGATAGAGAAAGTAAAGGTGAATGAATGAATTAGTAAGTAGTACTGGCCTGGAGAGAGAGAGAAATTGATGAGGGGACTCCACATCATCTGGGAACATGTCGGAGACGATGGCATCCAACAGTTCCGACTTTGAGACAGATATGTATTTTTGCCTCGGGACCTCAATTCCCGACGACCGGCTTCTGGGTTTCGAATCCATAATAATAGGCTTATCCTCCTGCTTTGGCGGCGGGATTTGAGAAAGAGAGGGAAGTGCTTCTTCCTGCACTGAGGGGGCTGATGAGCGAAGAGAGCATGAAGTGATGCGAGCACGACATTGATAATTGGACCAACAGTAAGAAGATGAAGATGATGAGGGCAAAGTGGCGCTAAAGCAACGGATAGTCGACATAATTTGTACGCGCGCCGGAGGGGATGGATGGATTAAGCTCCGGCCATATCCCGACCAAGTTGATTTCAACCTCACAAGTCACTTTTCACTTTGATTCTCTCTCTCTCTCTCTATCTCTGCCACTGCAACTGCAACTTCAGACTTCTTCCTCTACTCGTTGCCCATACATAGTTTTATTTTAAATTAATTCTTTCATTTTATTTATTTAATATAAATTCACTTTTTTATAATAATAATAATAATAATAATAATGGGTTCATAGTGCGGTATTTTCCAGCTACCTTGCGAAATAATTCATTTGTCAAAAAACACTTTAATCTTTTACAAAATCGTCTCAACTTCCAAATATTTCGACTTTTATAGATCGTGGTTTGTTTTCGTAGAAATCAGTTAAAACCCAACGATTATCAAGATGGCCAACATCGATCCCGTAAATGAGGTAAAAAATTACGTTTTAGTGTGATTTTTTTCGATTTTCAGTCGTTTCGTGTAGAATATCACGAAATTATTCAAGTCGTTTTTGTGGTGTTTTTCACGAAATTAACACCTTATTCGTGTTTTCCAGTCATTTCGTGTACAATACTATAAAATTATACCTCTTATTTCTTGTAAAGTCACACGAAACAGAAGTAAACTGTTTTGTTATTCATTTCGTGCAGTACTACACGAAATGTATACATTAATTTCGTGTACTTTTATACGAAATACCTAGTACTATTTTTTTTTTTTTTTGTGTGCAAGTATCTAACTTTTTTTTATTTTATTTACGCAGCCATATGAAGACAATTTGTATTTTGATCCCTCGGTTTTGGATCAAAATGAATATGAAGATTTCTCTCACTTCTTCCAAGTTGATATTGTGTTCGGTAGTAGGGAAGAATTAATCAACTGGGCCAAAGCAACTGCAGTTAGTCATTGTCACCGTTTGATTTGTCAATCTAGAAGGGAGAATGCACTGTACTTGACATGTGACAAATACGGACATGGCCGGCAAACGAATATCGATGTGGAAGATCCTAGAAACACTGGAATAAAAAATGTGGTTGTCCGTTCAAACTGATTAGCAAAAAGTCAAGGTTTGATGAATTATGGCGGTTGACTGTCAGCGATGGCAGGCATACTCATCGTCCGGCTTTGTTTCCTCACGGACAAGGTACGACTAGTCGTATAACTCCACAACAGAAAGCAAGAATTAAAGAATTGCGAAATTCTCACGTGAAGCCAATGCTAATCATGGATAGATTAAGGAAAGGTGATCCGACTGTTAGAGTAGGTGACCAACAAGCCAACTTGTGGTTGTGGTCCTTCTCTTTATCCTTGTAATAAAACAATCGTTTTTCGTTCGTAATAATAAAATATTTCATTTGGCATTCTATATCTGTTATCCCATGCAAGCAACATAGATATAGTCCCAACGAGTTACTCTATTACTGTGAGTTGATCTAGTAGAATCGTGAGATAACTCAGCAATGTAATGTAACTGTTAAACCTTGTTCCTAGTCGATGGGTTACACCAATAATGAGGATACCGGCCTTTCCCTTTTGAGACTAGCACTTAGTGTGTGTACTGCGTCTCATCAGTCCTCGGTGTTGTGACATCGGCATACTTGAGTGGGTGCTCATACTGGATGAGTTCACTGAACTCCCTCGCCCTAGAAACCTATAAGTGGTTCTCATTCATCGAGTAATAGGTTTCTGAGATATAGTTGTACACCATTAGTCCTTAAGACCCAGACATCACCGTGACTTCACTAGAGGACCGATTGTATCGTGACCTGTCCCTGAGTCCCACAGCGGACCATTACAAGGGCCAACGTTCGTGCAATCCAAAATCTAGTGTGAAGTTTGTGCATTGTAGTAGGGGATTCAAGCGCTTGAGTAGTCATGGATGTCCTGTGTGTTCTGACGGTTTATAATCCAAGGAATCTCTGGCCAGAGTTGATAGTGGGGTGATTAGGGAAATGTGTTTCCCTAAGTCGCACACGAACGGATTTATAATACCTAGAACGTTTGCACGGTTATTGAACTTTATAAGAGGTCTCGGTGAACCAATGCCTCTAGTTCAATCGGGACATGTGCTGCGAAGGGATCGTACTGTACGCTAACTATATCATAAGGTTCTTGCAGGCACTTCACTTGTATCTAGGGAATCATGATGCGTAGTTGCTAGACGTCAATCTTGATTCGTTGGGCACCGATTTGATCGGGGATTAGGTAAAATGAGTTTTACTCTAATCGGGACTCTTGGGAGGAGTTCGTATAAGAACAATGTGTTGTTCGAATCACAAAGAGTTGTGAGCCCACGGCTAGCATACACCTGAACCATTGAGGGTCACACTTCTCGTGTAAAGATCCTTGATAACAACAAGCATAGATTAATGTGTTAATCTTTGAACGATTGGATGTCGATATGATTGAGTCCAAGATTCGTAATTGTGAATTGCGAATCGGAATAAATGTGGAGAAAGAGATAAATGCGGAATTTAGTGAACTTTCTAAATTGGGAAGTTTCCCGATTTAGCAAGTCCACTGAAGTGGAAGTTTCCAATTTTGGAAATTGGAAATTTCGAAGAGGCACTCGTATCGACGAGGACTTTGAGCTCGTCACAAATATAATTTTGTTATAATTTTGTGAACGATCGTTTATTAGAAACGAGGCCGACGAGGGAATGGGCTTAATGCATCAGTGGGTCAAGCCCAATGACTTAAACCCACTAGGGTTAAAAACCCTAAGTATAAATAGACCTCAAACAAGAGTTTGAGATCAGATTTTATGCACCAAAACCCTAGCCGTCCAAGCCCTAGCCGCTCAGCCCTCTCGACCGTTGCTGCTCCGCCGTGCCGCCGGAAACCGCCGGTTTTCTCCTCTCTATTCCTTCGTTTATTCTTGTTGTTTATCTAATTCGTTTACATCTAGTGCTGTAGTTCGAGTGGGTCAAAAATACGAGGTGAAACCTAATTGGAGAGGAGCTGCTGCCCCGACGGAATCCACGCACCGCCGCTGCACCGCCGCACGCGCCGCTGCACCGTCCACGCGCCGCCGCTGCACCGTCCACGCGCCGCCGCTGCTGCTGCCACGCGCCGCCGTCCGCCGCCTGCTGGATCAGTTTGCTCCAGCCGTGAGTTGCAGCCCCGAGCATTGGTAATTTGCAGCTTGTACGTGTTTGGTTCTAGTTTTCGATTCGTCGAAATCTCACGCTACAAGAGGTAAATAAATCGTAACTTTCGTAAATTGATTCGAACATGGTTTGTGTGAATTTTAATTTACGAGCATGAGTAATATGTGATTACGTGTTTCGATTTTATTGTATGATGAACGAGCATGTTTTATAATTTTCGATTTTACATGTTTTCAGTTAAATCGATAATTACCATATGTATGGCGGAAGCGTTAAGGTACGTTGACTATGTGATTAGTTTATGCATGTAATCGAAACTAGTTCGATCTAAAAATTTTAAATTCCGCTGCGTATACATGCACGATCCCCAACACCGACGATACAAACCTCTATGAAGCATGTTTACAATGAGTTGGCCAAGATTAAATCTGAGGAAATGGAGGGCATGACTGTTATTCAGTTTATGATGCATAACTTTGAACAAGGCGAGTATCGATATTGGCATCGCGTCGATAGTGAAACGAGCAACACGATTACAGATATTATGTTTGCATGTCCCGAATCTATTAAGTTACTACGGTTGTTCCCGTATGTTATATTGATGGACTGCACATACAAAACCAATAAGTAATAAAATTACGATTGTTTAAATTATGATAATTGTATTTTAATGTATTGTATTGTTTAAATATGTAAAAACAACAATGTTGTAGGTATGATATGCCTCTTTTGGAAATAATTGAGATAACTCCAGTTGGGAGGAATTTTACAATTACTGTTGCATTTATGTCGCATGAAGATGCAGACACCTACGAGTGGACTTTGAATTGTTTGAAAGAGTTGCTAGATGGTGTCGAACCTGATGGGATCTTGACATACAGGGAGTTGGGTCTTTTGAATGCACTGCAAAAAATGTCTTCCCATTTTCGTATCATATGTTGTGTATATTCCATATAAACAGAATTGTTGAGGCAAATGCGACGAAATTTATGGGAGGCAAAAAAGACCAAGGTCTAATATTCCGACGTGTGCTGTGGGCTAAGCTGGTGAAATCAGAAACCGAAGAAGAGTATCATTAGAATTACAATGAAATTGTTGGACGATATGCAGGGTATCCTAGACCGATACAGTATTTGAATGATACGTGGTTGATATACTAGGAGAAGTTTGTTCGAGTATATACTCGCAATGTGTATCATTTTGGCAACACGAGCACCAACAGGTATTACATGTTTTAGTTATTTAAATGATAAAATATATTATATAAAAATAATATTTATTTTGTAATTTGATTGTCGTTGTATGCTTTGATTGTTGTTGTAATTGGATAGGGTGGAGAATGCTCATTCTTCAGCGAATGGTTGGTTAAATGCTTCGCCCGGAGGTCTGGATAACGTGCAAGGCAAACTTCGGGACCAAGTTTATATCCAAATTAGTCAGCTGAAGTGCGATTTTTCATTATCATCCAAGATAAAGAAGCATACTGCAGCATGGCCGTGTTTTCAGTGTTTGATTTGTTATATTACGCATCTGGCATTAGAGAAATTGGATCAAGAGATGGAGTCCCCGGCGATGCAAGATCCGAGTATTTGCACACACTATCTTTGGAATACTCATGGGCTCCCATGCGCGTGCAAAATTGTGCATAAAATGGAAGATAATGACACGTTCGTCATTTCAGACTTGCATCCATTCTGGAGTACCATGGCAGTTGAGCCTTCGGAGCTACCTGAGTATCAAGTAAACCGCGAGGAGATTGTGGATAGACAGATTGATGACCTGAATTGCAATTTGAAGAAGATGAATTACACGAGTAAGATAAATGATGTGGCCTCATTGCGTGGCATCGTTTATCCGTCTACGTTGCATCTGGCCGAGCCATCATTTGTTAAGACCAAAGGACGACAAAAGAATAACTCGACAAAGAGAGACCCTTCCGGATGGCAGTATCATATTGATGAGGGGACAATTAAGTCGTCTTGTGGTTCCAAGGGTCGCCAAACCTCATATGGTGCAAAGATTCCTAAAGCAAAGGTTGAGAGAAGCACTGATGGAACGCCTCAATCGAAGATGAAAGGTCGTGGTTCTCGTATTCCCACACAAGAATCCGTTGCCCCTACAATACCTGCACATGAAGGAATCGACTTTTATTCTTTCGTGCCCAGATTTATGGTCCATCTGTGTTTCCAAATTTCGGATGGAAGCTTGGGTGGATGTCATAAATTGAGCTAAGATGTTTGCGAGAGCTCCACCTTGGGGTGTAGCTTGAGGCGGATTTTGGAATCCGGGAGCTGGTCATGAATAATTAGGAGGTTGACCTTGAGGTGGTGCTTGCCTTTGTCCTTGCTGATTTCCTCCCCATCCAAAGTTAGGGTGATCTTTCCATCCCGGATTAGAAGTGTTGGAGTACGGGTTCCTCTCTTTTCGGTTGGTGTCATGCACATAATTTAGAGACTCCGTTTCTTCTAAGCACTGGCCGGGTCCTTGGATTGGACTTGCTGAGTCTGCAAAGCTGCTACTTGCTTTGATAGTTTTTCTAACTGGGCGGTGATTGCGGTGACACCGTCTAACTCCAAAATTCCTCCCGTCTTTATGACTCCGCTATTTGATCGGTCCGATGCCCGCATGTATTTGTTCCTTGCGATTCGCTCCAAAAGTTCGTAAGCTTCGTCATAGGTCAAGCTCATAAACATACCGCCAGCTGCTGAATCGAGCACTGTTCTCGAATTATCTTGCAATCCATCATAAAATATTTGAAGTTGCCGCCACTCTTGAAGTCCATGATTCGGGCATCTCCGAATTAATTGTTTGAACCGCTCCCACGTCTCGAATAACGCTTCACCGGCTTCTTGTATGAAATTTTGTATTTCTCTCCGGATTCTCTCAGTTTTTGTTGGGGAGTTGTATGTGTTCATGAAAAGTTGTGCTAGTTGGGGCCAAGAAGAGATGGAGTGCGGTGCACGAGTTTGTAACCATTCTCGGGCTGCTCCTTGTAAAGAGTGCTTGAACAGGCGGAGTTGCAATGCTTCAGGTGATACTCCGTTCATCTTATGCGAATCACACGTTTCGAGAAAGTTGACCAAGTGGAGATGCGGATCTTTATGAGCTAATCCGCTGAACAACCCATTGTTTTGGAGCATCGTAAGGAGTCCCGCTCGAATTTCGAAATTGTTGGCTTCAATGGGGGGCTGCTGGATGCTTGATTGAAACCCATTGAGTGTTGGAACAGTGTACTCATGCAATGCTCGTTGACAAGGTGGTGGATTAATTAGCTGAAGTTGCTCTTGCTCGTTGACGATGTTTCCTGCCGCATTCGGTAGGCGCCCTTGGTCATCTCCCGTACGATTATTCTCTTCTTCCATTGTCGCATAAAAAGTACCTAAAACAAATAAAAGAATTAAATAAAATAAATAAAACGGCTGAAGTAAGAAAAATTGCTCAAATTTAATATTAGGATAAATAGATAATTTAGCCGTATTCCCCGGCAACGGCGCCAAAAACTTGTTGGGTGCTAAATACCTAACACGCAAGTGCACGTATCGCAAACAAGTAGTAAAAGTGGACTCGTGAGAGTCGGATGTCGATCCCACAGGGAATACTCAAATTATCTAATCCTAAGTACCAAAATCTAACAATTATGATTTTTATCCACCTACGCAAAGTTGTCAAATTTAATCAACTAAATAATTAAACTAATTATGAAAGCAATTAAACACGAGAAAATATCAATAAAAACGGACCTAGGATTTAATCTTCCCCCTATGCAAGAAGTGCTCACCCAAAACCCCTCAATTATGAAATATATGATTCCTGATTATTAACCCGAGACACTAATTTACTCATAACCCGCTGTCGCGTGTATTATGAGTTTATTATTCATAAACGGTTCACTATATGTCTATGCAAACAAATTATGAATAAAGCATTAACTAACAAGTCTCGTAAATGGCTACCTAAGGTGATATCTGTATGTCTACGACACCACATGCAATTGACACACTCATCCGGTAAAAACTACTCGAAGGCTCTTATACTTACCGTCTAATTATCAAAATAGCTCTGTCGAGTCAATCCTAATAATCACAGATAAAGCACATAAATTGATCAAGTTCATGCACTAACAATCATAACAAGTATAAGAAATAATCGTAAAATCATAATTGCATAATCTCAAGAAAACGGGTTCACCATCCCCACATAGGGTTCCAACAAAATCCTAGATTAAAAACTTAGCTACTCATGTTCTCAACGAAAAACATAATAAAAGTAATAAAAGACATAGATAATAGATTAAGAAAAGATAGAATAAAGAAGAATTGTGATGAAGATTTGTCAATTCTCCGTCTTCGATTCTTCGTTCTCTCGCTCCTCTCGCTCCAAGGTTGTGTCAAAAGTCCTATACTTCGTGCTTGGTTTGGGCTTAAATAGATGTCCCAACTTCGTAGATGATTTTAGGTTTCCTTGTGTGATTAAAAGTCCAAAATTGTCTCCAGCGTGTTTTGGCGCGGCCGCGCGAAAATCAGTGCAATTCTCACACGGCCGCGCGAGAATCGCCGAAACCTTCTGCCCAAGTTCTGCAGTTGGCACGGCCGTCCCAAATTTAAGTGTAAATCTGGGACGACCGTCCCGTGCCAACTTCTTCAGATTTTTGATTATTTCACTTTTGGCCCATATTTTCTCCAAAATTGCAGTTTTGACTCCAAACTTTTCCAATTCTTCAATTTGTACCTAAAATACAATAAATCAACTTTTTAAGCACCAATTATCGTTAAATCACACCAAAAGCTCAAATAAAAAGATACAATAAAGTGTAAAAATATACGATAAAGTGTAAAAATATACACTTAACAGTTCTCGCCCATTCTACCATCTCAATCCTCGAGTTAAAAAGTTCCGGTACTATAAAATGCTCACTATGATCAACTTCATTCGTAGAAGAATTTTGTTGTTCCTCTTCCTGAAATAATTATAAATAAAATAAGGTTAAAGAATGATAACAAACAAAAAAAAAAAGTGTTGCGCGCCCAAACCGGACGCGGGAATCGGTTTTGGGCAACCAAACTGGACGCGGGTGGCAGTTTTTGGCGCCCAAACCAGACGCGGGTAGCGGTTTTTAGCGCCCAAATCGGGCGCATGAAGTACTTCTCGGCGACCGAACCGGACGCGGGAAATACTTTTGCGCGCCCAAACTGGGCGCCGAATACCAGACCCTGCATTCGGTTTGGACGTGAATCTAGCTTTTTCACGTTCAGTTTAGGCGTGAAACGTATTTTTGGGCGTCGAAATTGGTCGTGAGTCGCGTTTTCGCGATTTAAAGAACAAAAACGAACAAATTTTACCTCATTGGATTCCGTATCTCGATCCTCATTCGATGCACTCATTTTTTTTTGCAAATGGCTGCAATAACATGGGTTTTAGAATGACTTCTAATATAAAAGCTAAAATTGTAGAGAGAGAAAGAAAGATAGAGAGTGGATTCTTTAAACCCGCATTTGTAATTTTACTATCGCGAATATCACCTCACTTTTATAAAAGGGGTTCTACTAAATTGGTAATCCAAATCATAAAGCGGGTAGCTGAGTTCTAAATGCATGGGCTATAATAAGGTAGATCCATCTTCATTGATCTCAAAATTGACTAAATTGTCCCATTAATTAGTTAATTAAATTCCTAATATAATATTTATGATTTATGATTCCAACAAAGTTAATTGTAGGCAGTAGTTGCTTCAGTGGAAAAACTTTTTGGATTTGGTAGTTGTATATATATATATATATATATATATATATATATATATATATATATATATATATATATATATATATATATATATATATATATATATATATTGTTGGCACCAAATTTCCGTTTGTGAAGATTGAAGAAATCCGCCATACGTGGAAATTAAAGATTGACAAAGATTTGTTTTCCATGTTTATTTTGGAATTAATTAGAGTCCTATTCTTGTAATATTTTTATTAGGACTTAGATTTATTTCCATGTATTATATTCTAGTTAGGTATCTTTTGTACTTATCTAGAATAGAAGTAGAAATCGACTAGGATTCTATTACCTAGTTAATCGACTTCTTAGGGCTCAAGTTAGGTTTAGGGTGGTGGATTTCGTGCCTATATAAGGCCCTCAACCTCATATGAGTCCGATGGAGCTTTAAAAAGAAAAATCCCAGCATAAAGGCTTTGAAGGGTGCAGCCCGTGCTGCTGCCCTGTCTGCACGGCAGGTGTGGCAACAGAACAGTTTTCTTCTACCAGACCATAAAGAAGATCGGCGTTTCGGGAGTCTTTAGTGTTTTATTAAGTCCTATTAATGTACACTTAAATCTGAACTAGTTTTGCAAGTCCTCGTGGATGTAGGGTACATTTGTATCCGAACCACATTAAATTGTTGTGTTCTTTATTCTGCTTTTCGTAGATTTATTATTGTGACAACACAACAATTCTGTTACGTCACCTAATGTCGTAACATGTAGTCTGTCTCAACAGATGAGTGGACTTCCATAGGTATTTAGAAATCAACATATATATTAAGTATATATATATAGGGATAAGCCCTTTTTCTTTACTGTCTTTTCTTTTCCACTTTTTTTTGGCCCATTTAATGATGAAACTGCGTCGTTTCAATCTGTCGGTCCAATCACGTGTTACAATTCTTTTCTTTTTCCTTTATTTCTCAAGCTGCTCGACCACGACCTGCGTGCTTGAATTTATTTTTCGTTCACCTTTTCTTATATTCTGCTTCCAAGCATGACCTCAAATCTGGCCAACCATTGTTGACCACCGCCGTCGCCTCCGCCGTAGCCGCCGTCGCCGCCTTGGTGGGTCCCAATCCTTGTTTTTTTTTTTCTTTTCTTTTATGCTTTCGTTTTCCTTTGTTTTTGGGCCGCCTACAATTATTGACGGCGAGGGAATCTCCATGGCTGCAATCATCACATTATTCTTTTATCCTTTGCTTCTATCCTCCAACAAGTTTCGAGGTTGCCCCATCGTCTGCTGCGTGTACTTCTTATCTCCTGAATTGCTGCTTTTGAGATGACAGCACCACATGTGGGGGCAATTTTTTTTTTGGGGTTGTTTTGTTGGGGAGTTTTTAAAATGGGGTTATTTTTTAAGGAGTAATTAAATTGGTGTTGGCCGCCACCGGGAACGGCGGCATCAGCCGGAGACGCCACTGTCAGTGGCGGCACCGGCAGAAGACGCCGCCACCGGTGGCGTCT